ATTTTTTACCTGCCGGACATGACATTGAAAAAATCCGGAAAATTTGCCACATAAGAAAGGCGCCCGCTGCCGTGGCCTAAGGTTCTCACTGAAAATCCTCGTCCCCGGCGGCACCTTTTTTTGAATTTACTTCCTTTACAACGCCGATTTTTGGGAATTTCGGATTTTTTTTGAATTTTTTCGCAATAATATTTGGAAAATAGATAACTTTTAACACATTTTAATGCAATAAAAATTTTTGGTCGGAGTCCTCCTTTAATCCTCACCTTCCCGAAAAAAATGTTCCATCTATTACACCTCTCAAATTCTCTTTTACGCGATTTGTTCTTTTCTTCTTCCTCCTCCTCCTTTTCTTCTTCTTCTTCCCCCATCATTCACTCAACCCCCGTTCCTTCTAACACCTGTCATCAAGCAACACAGACATATGTCCCTTTTCTTCATCTCTCATTAGCAAGACGTCTTCTGACCGCTCGTAGCCATCGCAGAGCCTTTGCACTCCTTCAGTACCTTCTCCCCCTTTCCTGTGCCTCTCTCTCTCTCTCCCTCATCATACACACATGCTGAGAAAGAGGAAGGACAACAAAATAATCCCAGGTACATATGTATGCACTACCGGTCAATAAGATATAAAAATGTATTTTTCCGTTGATTTTGTGGCATTTTTAGAAGTCTAGAGTTCAGCAGTCAAGTCTGCGATCACTTTGAAAATTTAGGAAAGTGTAAAACAGGCCTAGATTAAAAACTTTGCATTCACTGAAAACTTTGAAAATTCTTAGTTTTTCAAATTTTTGTCGGTTCCTCACATTTTCAGCACAAACACTGGGCCAAAAACTCAAAAACTAGGAATTATCGTAAAATTCTGTGAATGCAATGTTTTCATTCTAGGCCAGTTTCAAAATGTTCTCTTCTGGTTTTTGATCCGTTTTTTGTCCGTTGTCTGGCTATTTCAGCTGTTTTTAACCTTATTTAGTTGTTTAAAATTTCTGATTTTTCTTAGATTTTTTGTCCATCTTCAGTTTGTTTTCAAGCCAATTTTGAACCGTTTCTGCTATTTCGAAAAGCAATTCTGATTACAAAACTATTTAGGCATCTTTCGACCATTTCAAGGGTGTCTTCAAAAAATCAGAAAAAAAACGAATTTTCAAAAAGTTCTGCTAATCAAAGTTTTCAATCTAGGTCTGTTTTACACTCTCCAAACATTTCAAAGAGATCACAAACTTGATAACTGAGCTCCAGACTTCTGAAATTGCCAGAGATCAACTGAAAAATACGTTTTGTTGACCGGTACTGTACATTTTCCAACTATTTTCCCCAAACAATCTAAAAATCCATTTCAAAGCCTATAATTCTGTTCAAAAACTAACTTTCTCGCTCATCTAGAACTCGAGATACGGTCATTTGAAGTTTCTGAGGTTAGAGACGCAGCGTGTCTCGTCGTCTGCGTCTCTAGCCTCCTAAACTTGGAGCGGTTCTATCTCGGTTCTTAGAAGCACTAGAAATGTGATTTTTAGACAGAATTGTAGGAATTTTCGTCTATTTTCAAACCCAAACAGAATTATTTCTCAGTTGCCTTTGTCTTGTATTCAAAAAGATCGAAATTTACAAAAAATCGGAGTTTGTAGATAGTTGAATTTTATATCATTTTGTAGCGCTTTTTAAGATTAACATTTTCCAATTTAAATTATTCGAAAATCTCGATTTTGAAAGAAGTTATGATCTAATTATACGGTATTTTTGAAAACTCACATCTCGAAAACCAAAAAAAGTACAAAAAAGTTGTCAACTACAAAATTGAAGCTCTATTTTTACCTGGTATAATCTAAAAATTTCAAACAAATTGGAAAAATCTGAACTACTTTTGTAGGACTTCAAAATAGGTCATTTTTCACCAGATTTTCAAAATTTCGATTTTTCGACTCCTAGGATTTTGGGCATTTAAAAGAGGGAGGACATGGATCAACCAATGTTTCCATAAAAAAATCTGAAAATCCATTTTAAACCCTACAATTCTGTTCAAAAACCAACTTCCTAGCTAATCTAGGACTCGAGATACGGTCATTTGAAGTTTCCGAGGTTAGAGACGCAGCGTGTCTTGTCGTCTGCGTCTCTAGCCTCCTTAACTTGAAGCGGCTCTATCTCGGTTCCTAGAAGCGCTAGAAATGTGATTTTTAGACAGAATTGTAGGAACGTTTGTCGATTTTGTAATTAAAAAAGTTTGTAAAAACTATTTTTTCCTCAATTTCTTAAAATTCCAGAAATAATGTCATCAGATGGCCAGGGAATGTCAACTATGGATGTCACGATGACAGAAGAGACAAATAAAATAGGGTGAGTCGTTTTTTTTTTTGGATTTTTAGAATCAGAGGATTATCAAGATCCTCAAGATTAGAAAAAGAAGGAAAATGAAGTGCTTTTTTTCAGAAACATGATCAAAAACAACGAGATGACAGATTCTGACGTCCCCAAAGTGCAGCCGAAGGTTCAGAATTTTGAGGTGAGTGTTTCAAATTCTGAAATTTCGAGATTCTGGGTTTCTGAGATCCTGAAAATTCAAAATTCAAGAGTCTAGCATTCTCGAAAACTCTGAAAATTCTAAAAATTCTAAAAATTCTAAAAATTCTGAAAATTCTAAAAATTCCTAATTTTCAGATGCCTGCCTTCGTCGCTCCGGATATGGTTTTTTATGAACCAATTTCATCTGTGAGGTTAGTTAATTTTTGAATTTTTGAATTCAGATTTTCAGAGTTTCAGAATTTCTGAATTCCTGAATATCTGAATTTCCAAATTACTGAATTTCTTAAGGATTACTGTAATTCTCAATTTTCAGAATATTCAAAAAACCTGCCAAACGTGGAGTCGGACGTCCGCCAATATTTGATAATCCCAATCCTGAAGATCGTAAAACTCGGGAATTTGAATTGCTGAATCGGATGTTTACTGGAAAACTTATAGAAGATTCTGAACCATCCACGTCATCAGCCACGTCATCTAAAAGGATTCGGAAGCCATCGAAAAACGTGGAGAAGGATTCTGAATGCTCGATTTCATCTAAAGAAGTCCTGAAGCGTCCAGGAGTCATTTCGAACGATTATGAAGCTTCAAAGTCCTACAGGAAGATATTTGTGAGCTCAGAAGACTTTCCGGCTCCTTTCACGTTATCTGAAAGGATTCTGAAGAAGCCGGAAATCAAGATGACGTCTTCAAATTCATTTTCAACGACGTCAAAGGATCCAGAAGCTACCGAAAGGCTCCAGAAGGCTCAAATAGTTAATGTGACGTCTTCAATGACTCCAGAAGTCAAGATGACATCTTCAAAGTTTCCAGAAGTCAAGATGACGTCTTCAAAGCCTCCAAAACCCATCAGTCACAATTCTTATACATTTTCAACGGCGTCTGAAGGTCCAGAAGCCACGAAAAGGATTCTGAAGGCTCCAAAAGTCACTACGCTGCCTTCAACTTCATTTTCTCCGACGCCAGTGGATCCAGAAGCCTCTGAAAAAATTCGGAACCTCATCGACGAAGTCGTCGAGAGTCTAAGACCTCCTGAAGCCAACAACGAAGAAAACATTCTGGAAACTATTGAAAAGGTGGTCCAACGGCTAATGTTCCACGACGAGATGTCTGATGGATCGGAAGACGAGCCGATGGATTCTGAAAAGGAAAAACGGATTCTGGAGACAATTGATGACGTCATCATGGGAGAAATACGTCCAGAACCAAGATCGGAGAAACTTATTCGAGTGCTAGAAGGCGATACAACGAACTTGACGGTCCAGAAAGATGTCGTAGAAGATTCTGAAGCTTCAACGTCTTCTAAGAAGGTTCCAAAAGCTTCAACGTCTTCTAGAGAGGTTCAAGAAGATCCAACACCTCCCAGAAGAAGACTGAAATCTCCTCCACCTCCCATTTTAGCCGATGCCGACGATGAGTATGACTCCAAGTCTACGAATTCAGAATCCGAAGGCTGTCAGAAGGATTCTGAAGGCACTTCTAGAGATGACAACGATGAAGAAATGCCTTCCCAAGATTCCGACCCGGAATTCGATGAAATGTTTGAAAAATCAGAAGCCCAACGTCGTCAGAATGCTGATGACGTTCGGAAGGAGCAGACAATTCTGAAGGAGGATGGAGGGCTGGAACGTCTTCTGGAGGAGGATCGACGACGGCTTCTGGAGGCTTCAGAAGCTCCAGAAGCTCCGAAGGTTCCACTGAAGTCGATTTTGAAGAACCCAGAGCATCAGAATTTGAATAGACCGCGAATCCTAACTTTTGACAAGGATATACAAGAGGTAAGGAAGATTTTAGAAGTTCAGAAATTCGGAAATTTTCAGAATCCACGGGGAGACCAGGCTCCAAAATTTAAGGATCGTCATCAATATCGACATTTAGCCACCAATTACGACGGTGATAACGAATCCGAAAATAAGAATCAAAAAATTTCGATATACACAGAAAGTAAAATAAGAAAAACCAATCCAGAATCATTGGAATATGAAGAGGTATGACTTTTCAGAATCTGAAAATTTTTAGAATTCGGAAATTCAGAATATCTGAAATTCTAAAATTCTAAAACCCTCCCTGAGATTCTGAGATTCTGAGGATTCTGAGGATTCTGAGACTCTGAGATTCTGAGATTCTGAGATTCTGAGATTCTGAGATTCTTAGGATTCTGAGATTCTGAGATTCTGAGATTCTGAGATTCTGAGATTCTGAAGATTCTGAGGATTCTGAGATTCTGAGATTCTGAGATTCTGAGGATTCTGAGATTCTGAGATTCTGAGGATTCTGAGATTCTGAGATTCTGAGATTCTGAGATTCTGAGATTCTGAGATTCTGAGATTCTGAGATTCTGAGATTCTGAGATTCTGAGATTCTGAAATTCTGTGATTCTGAGATTCTGAGATTCTGAGATTCTGAGATTCTGAGATTCTGAGATTCTGAAATTCTGAGATTCTGAGATTCTGAGATTCTGACATTCTGACATTCTGACATTTTGAGGATTCTGAGGATTCTGAGGATTCTGAGGATTCTGAGGATTCTGAAATTCTGTGATTCCATTTTTTTTTTCAGACACCCCACGGCTTCAAAGTTCAAAAGTATCAAAAAGAGGCCAGAAAGCACCAGAGGAGGAAATACAGAGGATATATTCAGAAGTATAGGAAACAAGATTCTAGAGATCCACGTCATCAAGAAGCTTCATCAGAAAGTGATGAGGAGGCTATGGAAGTCGACGATCAGGATTCAGAAGTTTCACGTCATCAGAAACCTGTTCCAGAAGCCTCAAAGATGGATTCTGAAGTTCCACATCATCTGATTCCTAAATTTTCGGATCCCGAAATCCCTGAAGTAGATCCAGAAGACGTGCTTGACTGGACCGACGTCTTCAACTCCAAAACCGAGAATCCACCGAGTGACGATGACCTAGAAGCCCCTCCGACGTCTCCAGAGCGTCCTCCAGAGACCAGAATCCAAGAAAGCAGGCGTCTCCAATCAGAATACATGGAGCACAAAAAGAAGACGTCAGAGGAGCACCGTCAGAATTCAGAACAACTCAAACGGCTTCAGAATCCCATTGCGGATGATGTGGTTCAGTCTAGATGGACGTTGATTGCTCAAGCTTATCGGGAGACCAGAGATGAGGAAGTGGAAATGGGGATTCGGAGCAAAAAGAGCAAGAAGGAAATGCGAAAATTGCTCAGCTATGACAAAGAGGAAAATGAAAAATGGAGAAAGGAGCGGCAGGAATTTCTGGCGGAAGGGCAAAAAATTCTAGAGAAAATGGTGAAAAAATTGGATGAGCTGAAAATTCTAAGAAAAACCGAATTTCGAAGCGATGAAGAGAACGAGGACAAACAGAAGAGATGTCAGAAAATCCGGAAACAAATCAAGGCTTTAAAATCTTCTCATAAATATTATATGTACAAATTGGCAAGTCTCCCTAAAAATAAGATACCGTACCCCCCGAAATATTCATATTGGGAGCGGGATTTTCATAAATATTTGGACAAATATTGGGAGAATAAAACGGCTGGAAATTTGGAAGAGATGGAGAGAATGAAGAGGAAAATGGAGAGAAAAAAACCGGAGGAATGGAAGAAGGATTTGGAGGTTTTTGAGGTTGAAACGGAGATTGAGGAGATGGAGAAGGAGAGACCGTGGTGGTGAGTTTTTTGAGATTCTGAGATTCTGAGATTCTGAGATTCTGAGATTCTGAGATTCCGAGATTCTGAGATTCTGAGATTCCGAGATTCTGAGATTCTGAGATTCTGAGATTCTGAGATTCTGAGATTCTGAGATTCTGAGATTCTGAGAGTCTGAGATTCTGAGATCCTGAGATTCTAAGATTCTGAGATTCTGAGATCCTGAGATTCTGAGATTCCAAGATTCTGAGATTCTGAGATTCTGAGATTCCGAGATTCTGAGATTCTGAGATTCTAAGATTCTGAGATTCTGAGATTCTGAGATTCCGAGATTCTGAGATGCTGAGATTCTAAGATTCTGAGATTCTGAGATTCTGAGATTCTGAGATTCTGAGATTCTGAGACTCTAAATGTAAGATTTTGAGATTTTGAAATTCTGAGATTCTAGGATTCTGAACTTAAGAATTTCTGATTTTCTATAAGTCGCAATTTTCAAGTTTTAGGTTTTTTAGAACTTTCTTCTTTTCAAATTTTTGAATTTTCTAGAATTTATGGATTTTCGATAACTCTAAAGTTCGAATTTTCGAAATTCAGAATCTTATTCCAGATTTCCATCTACATGGCTTTGAAGTCGTCTTGTCATCTTTTTCATCGGATGTTCCAATTTTCGGATCATTTCAATTTTTCGAGTTCCCAATTTTCCCTATTTCTAAAATCTGTTCCCAATTTTTGATATTCTTTGAACTTTTTTCTAGTTTCCTACATTCTTTCATAATTCGTTTCGTTGATTTTTCGATTATCGAGCTTTTTGCCTTCGTGCAGTTTCGTGTAATTTTTTTTTCATATTTCCAGAATTCCCAGACGTTCTCTCTCTCTCTCTCTCTCGTTTTTCTGTTCACTTTTTTCATTTTCTGGTTTTTCAGACATTCCAAAATCTCTCCTAATCGTTTTAATTTCTCAAATTTTGCTGAAATCTCCATCCAATAACTTTTACGGTTCCCAGGAATTCACTGCTTAAAAAAACACTGATCTTTCCCTTTTTCTTTCCAAACCAGCAAGTCAAAATCCAGAAATTTGGGAAAAAAGAACAACTGAAAAGTGGACCTTTGATGCTTCGAAATTCAAATATTGGACAAAAATCTAACATGCATTTTCCTTATCACCATGAGAAAATCTGGAAGAGAGTCTTTAATATTTTCTTGGACCCAACTTCGATCCAATTAATCTCAGTTCCAATAAAAGATATCAAAAAGTTGTCAACTGATAAAATTTTGCTGATATTATGATAAACATTTTATTAGTTGATTACTCTTTGAAATCTTCCACAGGAAATGAGATATAAGCGCTCAAAGTTGATGGTTTGGGAGGTCGTTTTATTAGAGTGTTTACGGCATTTCCCTCTCAAAAGATGAGCTCTTTTTATCTGGTGTTTCAGATTCTCTAGAACTCGACTGTATGATTTTTGTTTTCAGGCAACCATCCAACTCTCCACGAGCTTAAAATCATCAGTCTCTATCCCAAGCCATATGGGGGATCCTCTTGGTTTGTGGGACATTTTGAAGGAATGGAAGAAAGAAGAATCAGTCGGTTAGTTATATTTCAAGCTCAATTATCTCGGTCCGTTTGAGAGATATAAAAAACTTGCCAACTGATGAAATATTTATCATAACATCCACAATATTTCATCATCTGACCAATTTTTGATATCTTTTGAAGGATTTGAGATAATTGAGCTTGAAGTACAAGAGAGATGATTTGCCGTTCTTGCTATTTGAGCTCGATTAGTTCATTTCCTATGAGCGATATCAAAAATTTGTTAACTAATAAAATGTTGGTATCGCTAACATTTTTGCTTTTCACATATTTTTGATAGCGCTCATGGGAACCGAGATAATGAAGCGTCAAGGTGTATCATTTTTTTTGTGTTCAGATAAGATACATTCGCCGGATACTGACTCGAAAGTTCTGGAAGATATCGATGAGTCCGATGGTCCACCAAACAGCAACAAACCTCATATGATGGATCGGAATGAGCAATTGGATCCAAAGAATCAGAAGGTCTTGCTTCAGGAATGTGACCGCAGTATCGAGATCCGGAACCTTGGAATTCCTGATGTTCCTTCTGAAGATTTGGCAACTCCAGCTACACAGTCACCCACCGGAGAAACAACATCTTCATTCCAGATTAACGGATGAAGACACCAAAAATACATAAGCACCCTTAATTTGCTATCAAAATCATTTCTTTCCACATTCTTAGCACTTTCCGACCTCAATTCGTTCCATTCCAAAAGTTATTTATTTCAAGCCAATTTTAAGGGTCTGAAAAAGATAATAAAATTTTTCGAAAGTTTCTGAAAGTTTCAGAGTATGCTAAACAAAAATAGAGCTTCAATTTTGTAATTGAAAACTTTTTTGTAGAAATTCATCCAAAAAAGATATACGGATTTTTGAGACCAACTATGTCCCAAAACTCCCGTGAACACAATTTTAATATATTTTTCAGATTCCTCATCCCCCCTTAATATTTTCCATATTTTAAGAGATTTATCTCGTTGGTTTTCTAGACATTTTCCCCCAAAAATAATTCTTTTTCTAGAAAATGTTTCCCCCAAAATGTTTTCTTTTCCTTCAAAATTCCCCCCCCCCCCCCAAATTATTATTCTTCTAGAAATCCCCCAGTGTCATTTTAATTGTGTCCCGATTTTCATATCGCCTTATCCCGCCTGGAAATTCGAAAATTTTGAAATGCTGAAGTATTTAAATGTGCTCTACAGAAAAGAAAAACATTCAAAATTTTCAGGCAGATTTTCCTGTTTTTTCCTTTTGCTCTCCGGTTCCTGAAAAAATATTCCCCGGTTTTTTTATTTTTCTGTTAAATGATGTTCCTAATAATTTCTAGAAATACCCGATTTTTTATTCGAAAGTTCTGTAAATCCTCATTTTTTCTAAATAAATTATAAAACCTTGATGTTTTTGTTCTGTTTTTTAGGAATATTTTCGGAACGATAACTTGCTGATTAATAGAAAATCTACAGTATCTTAAAGGAACATGTCTAAATTGTATTCTCTGGTTCTCACCACATGCCAATGTAGTACAGCATAGTCGGAATATTATTCTTGAGCAAAAAAATTGGAGTTGTGGCCGAATTTTCACACAAGTTAGGCCACCGTATTTCAAGGAGAATTTTCGAAAACACAGCCGGCAAACGAGTGCTACCG